AAACTACCCAGAAACATCACACAGATCTTGCCAGCTGCAAGATGTGTGTTGGTGGGACAAGCTGCCCTTTAAGCTTGTGTGTGTCAACCCTGTTCCTAGCATAGGTTAGGGTAGACCAGGGGTGGGTAAAATGCGGCCCGTGGGCCAGATGCTGCCCACCAGGCCATTCTATCCGGCCTGCAGGGCCCCTAAAAAAATTTAGAAAATTGATATTTCTCTGCCCCTGGCTGCCTGTCATGTGGCCCTCGATGGCTTGCCAAAACTCAGTAAGCGGCCCTCCACCCGAAATAATTGCCTGCCCCTGGGGTAGACATAAGGCTGCTCTAACTTATGCTGTCTGGCACCAGCTCTTTAAGCATGCTGACATCAAGGCTGAGCAGGACCAGGTGGTGATAACATTGGTGCATTGGTTTTGTACCAGATAGCAGGTCCCACATGCCAATTTGGTTGCTGAACAGTCAGATAATACCACCATTTGCTCAATACAAACCCTGGGTAACAAAAGGTAGAAGGCTCCATATTCCATTACAATGCCCGCGTGCTACACATTCTCCTTATGTTCACTGTTTGCCTCATTCAATTATGCAGAGTGTACTTATTCAGGCAGTAAAAACAGCTGATGAAGAGAGTCCAGTGCGTAAGGTAATATTCAGTCCCACTGGCCTGGCATTCTACTGTTTCATTCATGCCATAGCCAACCTGCTATTTAGGGTGTTAGAAGGGAGACAAGACCCAGAGTTCCTCCCATCAAATCCTATTTGCTTGAATTTAGACCTTGGAAGCAAAGTTGAGCAGTACAGACAATGGAGTGCTGGGTCTAACCCAAGACACAGGAAAAGAAGGATAGGGTTTTACCTGGTCAGTAGAGCTGGGAAGCCTCTGCAAGTTCCCCTATGCAGTGATATGCACTACGTCGCCTGCCTTGCCTTTGTATGCACTACATGAGTGGAAAAAGGCACCTGAATGGGTGGGGGTATCTTCAGTGTTGGGTTGGACACTCAAAGGCATTGTAATGCTGTTTATAATGTCCAAGAAGGCCTTGAAGCTGCCATGTGCACAGTGTCCATGTGAGGCTAGAAATGGTGAAGAGGATGGGGAACGGTGGAGGTTCCTGAATCTTCACAAGTGCAGAATGGGGGCATGACCCTGGCTTGTACAGCACTGTGAGATGAGCAGCTTTGTTGCTCCTCTGACACATCCACATGCAAACGGGTGTAGATTTGCTGCTGCTTTGTGGAGCAAACAGGATGGTTGAGTTAACAGCCCCCACAGTCAAGAACAAGATTATTAAAAGTGTTCAGCACTTGAGTCTTTCTGCAAATCCCTGCCCTGGTGCAGTACCTATGCGCCTATTCCACCAGAGCAGAACAATCAGGCCACCCTCAAATGAGCATCATGCTTGATTGATCTCAAAGACACATGCTCCATTTTTCTTAAATTCCTCTGTTGCTTCTATCCCATCATGGCAGCAAGGAACTCTGGGCATTGCAATCTAATGCAGTTAATTGCAGCTCATCCACCAGTTCCCTGCACTGTAACGCAGCTCCGGGGACCCTACAAACATCCACAATAGGCATCTTCTCATCTCACTCATAGCTCCCTTCAGCAGTGGACATTAAATAGGCAGAAATGGTATGTCTGTTTTTGCCCTTGAGTTACTTTCATCGAACCAGCACTGCAACGGTTGTGAGTAGCAGCAGCAACAATGCAGACACCAGGATGTGTAATGGCAAGGTGCATTATTAATAGCACCTCAAGTCCTTTGTCACAAGACCAGAAAGGAAGAGCACAGCTCAGGCCAACTGCAAGGTATCTTGGGACCAGAGGAAATCTATTTTTGCAGAAAAAGTTCAGCTGGGCGCTAAGAGGGCAGCTGTGCTGGGAGCAGCTTTATCTGCTCACCCAGTTAATCACCGCATGCTTTCTTGTGGTGCAATGCTGAGCACACCCCAATCTACACAGTGCATCAGGTTCCCAGATTTTATGCCTACAGATCTGACAACTGTGGCTGAGCAGAAAAATGTTAGCAGACTCCTCTCTACACAGACTGCAGGGCCTCAATCTGCTGCAGATCCACTGGCTAGCCTGCATGGACTGCAGTTAATACCAACCCCAGCTGTGCTGCAAATACACCCAGCTCCACACACACGACTGCCAATTCATTTGCAGCAGTGCAGTGATTACCTGCTATTCTTTATAGCAGTGATTCTCAGCCAGGGTACGGTAGCATCCTGTGGTGCTGTGAGACCAAGTGTGCCAAGGGGCACCATGTAGTGTGAGCATTGTTAAGTGCACAAACACAATTGACAAGATAAACCGAGGGCTTTAAATATGGAATCAACCGCATCAAAAACATTTTAACCTGTTGTGGTCTCTCCAAGTTCTTTGCAACAGAAGAATTGCTTTAGTGTTTTTTCTGTAGTCAAAAAATGGGTGAAAACTAAAAGCTCGCATTGTCCAAGGAAGACTGAGTCTCAAAATTTTGAGAACCCCCGCTTGACAGTGTTTCACGGTAAAGGGATGCCATTGGTGTCCCTCAGAGGGCCCTTTCTCTGTGCTTTCTGTTTGTTTCTTTGTTGGTTTGGGGTTTTTTTTCCCCTCCTCCATTATACAGGTTCCTGAAGTGTCTGTCTTCACCAAGGACTGTTTTGAAGTCAAAGGCAATGTTCTGTGCAATTGATTTTTCTTCAGGAAATGCTGGAGTCAACACTGGAATTTTTTTGCATAAATTAACTGAAACTTAGAGATGAGTGAAATTTCCTGACATGCAGTTCATTAAGAAGAAAATGCCATTTCATGGTGAACGGAACGAGTCACGGATTTGTGTCAGATTTAGCAAATAGCGTCAGGAGACAAAAATGGGGAAAATGGTTTCGTTGGTTTAAAGGGAGCAGGATTTTATCCAAAGATCCCCAGTTCTGGCTCTTCATGTAACCCTTCTTCAAGCCCTAGTTACCCCATCTGCACAATTGGAGTAGCGATAGATAACTGCCTCACAAGGTAGGGGCTTGTGAAGCACACACCACCTGTCAGGCAGGGAAATGAAATGACTGCAGCAGCTTTTGTGGCAGTGCTCTTATGCCCCTTTCTGTAGATGGGCAGCCATGCACCGGTGCTGCCTCTGCTCCAGCCCATCAGAGTAGCTGGGAGCCTCAAGGCAGAGAGCTGGAAGCAGATTATTCTGCAGAGCAAAGGGACTGCAATGCCTGTCATTGCCCGCAGGACACAGCGGCACTAAGGCTAAGTATAGACAGGCAAAAAAACCCGAGACCAAATCGATTCAATCTTCTCGGGTTATTCTAAGCTGTGTAGATTGAACCAGCAAGCAAATGAACAGACATGCACTTTTGATTCCAGAAATGCAACCAGAGGCTTGCAATGGCCCAGGCCAGAAGGGGGTGCTAGAGCACATCTCTCTGTGGCTGGAACAGACAGCTTGGACTAAGGCTAGCATGCCCACCCTGCAAGGGAGGGTTTGTGAGGGAGGTGCAAAGCATCTTGGGATGCTAGGGGACTGTGAGTTAACTTGAATATGGAGGGGACCTGAGACAGATGTTCAATAAACTGATTTAACCTAAATCAGTTAAGTCTGCTACTATATCCATCCAGGTATGTCTTAAACTGGTTTTGGCCATTTAGAAAGTGGTTTATATGCACTGAACTTTTGTTGTGTTAAGGAGCTGAACCAATTTCCGATCACTTATACCGGTTTACATGTAATTTCTGTCCCTAACCTAAAGGGAAAGGGCGTCTGCCACCATTCCCTATTATATCTGCTTGGGACTGGGCTCAAGACGGGTAAGGCTGAGAAACTCCTGGTTCATGCTCATTTTCTTACTTATGATTCCCATAAAACATTCCTACCACTATCATCCTGAAGCAGCAGCAATCATCCTGGCTACACAAGTCAGGTTAATATGGGCCAATTAACATTTCTTAAACCGAACTACAGTAAGATCCATGTGTTTGAATTTGATGAGGGAAAAAGGCTGGAAAACATGCCCGCAGACACTCTCTGACTCACCAACATCACTTCCTTCTGGCTTTGACACTACAAGCAACAGAATTTCATTGGCACAGCCATTTTGGAGCAGGAGCATAAAATAGCTGGGGAGTCAGATCACACGTGCACACACACATGCACACACACTGGAATCGGGAAGCCCAGCTCTGCTTTCACTTGACCTGGTGTGTATCAGGAGTAACTCCATTAGGCCTGATTCTCTTTTCACTCACCCAAATCAGGAGTACCTTTCATTTCAAACAGTGGAGTGACTGTGGTATAAAGCCTTCCCAAGCAAGATCAGACTTGGCGCCTACCTGTATTGAGAGAAAGCATCTCAAATAGGTGACCAGTCTCACAGGTGACTGAAGACTGTGAATCTGGTGGTGGGTAAGAAGATGGGGAGGTAACAGCAGTGGCGTACACCTCTGGGGTCCCGAGTTGCACCAGTTCAGCATCTCTGGCACCTGCTACAATTAGCTGCTCACAGGATGCATGCAGCCTAAAGGCAACCACTCGGACAGCTGTGGTCTAGTAGATCAGAGACTGGTCCGGATTTCAGGAGACCCGAATTCTAGTTCTGCCTCTACAACTAACCTGATGGATGACCCCGAACTAGTTGCTTCATCTCTTTCTGCTTGTGCTTACGTGTCTGTGGAATACTAATGCTTATTGCTTACTTCATGTCTAACACACTTCGAGATGTACAGCTGAGAAGAGCTAGGTATCAGCGGTGTTATCTTGCATCAGTTAGGAAATGAGTTTAGATTTCTAAGTTGAGAAGTAAAATGACAAACAGCTGAGCATCAGATAATAAAATAGACCAGTGGACATGGGAGAGAGATAAGAAAGGTTGTGTTTATTTGAACAGCCACAGGAAACTGGAGACTGAAAAATGCCTAGAAAAAATCCAATTTTGTTTAAAAAAATGACAATGTGTTGACATTTTATACCTCGTTTGTCAAACCCCGACTGGCGCCATACTGTCCCGTCAAGTTCATGATCTGTTATTGTTTTGGGGCTTATCACGAGAACACCCCCCATTGGTCTTGTTCAAAGATTGCATGCTGCCATTCCCTGTAATCACGCTGGTAAGTAGTCTTTCCACCTCCCCTGGTAGAATCTGTTTCTCTTCGTTTTCTGTCTCCCTGTGGTAGAAATAGTTGAAGTTTGAGACAATGACTGGAACAGGAAGTGCAATAGTTAATACCCCTGCAATAGCACACAGAGTCCCCACGATCTTCCCTCCCGGGGTGGTAGGGCACATGTCACCATAGCCAACAGTTGTCATGGTGACCACAGCCCACCAGAACCCATCAGGGATGCTGGAGAAATGAGACTGTGGCTCGTCCACTTCTGCAAAGTAGATGGCGCTGGAGAAGAGGATGACTCCAATGAAGAGAAAGAAGATGAGCAAGCCCAGCTCCTGCATGCTGGCTTTGAGGGTCTGTCCCAAGATCTGCAGCCCCTTGGAGTGCCGGGAAAGCTTGAAGATACGGAAGACCCTGACCAGCCGAATGATCCTCAGGATGGCGAGGGACATGTTCTGCTGACCATTGAGTTCACTATGCTGGATCAGCTCAGTGATAACAGTCACAAAGTAGGGGATGATGGAGACAACATCGATGATATTCATGATGTTCCTGAAGAACTCAGACTTGCTGGGGCAGACGATGAACCTGACAAAGAGCTCAAAGGAGAACCAGATGATGCAGGTGGTCTCTATGATGAAGAAGGGGTCTGTAAAGGTGCTAGGGACCAGCATGGCTTTGGTCACGTTGCTAGTGACCTCTTTGGTGGCCTTAAATTCCCTTTCTTCTCGGAACTCAGGCAAAGTCTCCACGCAGAAGATGATGATGGAGATGACAATCACCAGCACGGAGACCAATGCCACACCTCTGGCGGCGCTGGAACTCTCCGGGTACTCGAACAGCAGCCAGAACTGCCTGTGAAAGTCATTGGTGGGCAGGAGAGTCTCGGGGTCTTTGATAAATCCTTCGTCTTCCCTGAACTGGTCCATAGCTTCATTGCCCAGTTCATAGAAGGTGATCTCATCAGCAAAGACATCTATTGGGACATTGGCTGGGCGCCGGATTTTCCCACCTGACTGGTAATAGTACAATATGCCATCAAAACTAGGCCTATTCCTGTCAAAGAAATACTCATTTCTCATGGAGTCAAAATAATGCATCCTTTTCTCTGGGTCTCCCAGTAGGGTCTCGGGGAACTGATTGAGGGTTTTAAGTTGCGTCTCAAACCTTAATCCAGCGATGTTTATGATGACTCTCTGGTCACCTTCATCCATATCCACCCGTTCTGCACCCAAGTGCTCACTGAATTCAGCAGAAAACTTGGAGAAAATGGTTTCATTGTTGGCATTCTCGCTATTGATGAGGATTCTCCAGTTGGACAGGAGGCTGGCACAGCTGGGGCGTCCCTTCTGCGATTGGCTAGCTGAGATAAGGTCGTTTGAATAACAGGGATCTTCCACTATCTCATGGGCATTGTCAAAACTGACTAGCGCTACCTCCATCTCCTTCCAACTGGGCACGTCCATCATACAGTAATCAGATTAGCAGGATAAATCCCCGGGTCAGATACCAGCAGCTTGTGTCTTTCCCACGCTATGATGATCTGAAAGCAAACACACACAGAGACAGAGATGAATTGTGTGTGCGTGCTTATGACGCTTGCTTTCTTGCAAAGAATTAAATAGATCAGTGTCCATGCAACCTTTACTTTTTTTAACCAAATATCAGTTGCACTTAGGGATGATATTTCATGCTTCTGATATCTCTGTCGGTCAACGCATCTGCAGACTGTTTTTACATACATTCATTATTGCAATTAAACCTTCCAACACACATTCAAGTATCCAAGGGTAAAGGGTGAGGATGCAGCAGAGCTGAGAATAGAACTTGGGTGTCCTGGCAGGAAATGCCCTCCCAAGCTTGCAATATCATAGTCCCTCTGAAACCTGGATTTCAAATTGCTTTGCACACGCAATCACAATAACGAAGCTTCACAAATTGCAGCACACAAGGTTAGAGTGACGCAGTGGTAGAGCCTGAAAAAAAATCTCATGAGTCCTGACTGACTGCTTGAACCAAGAGAGACATGGGGACAGAGCCCAGTCCTGCT